ATAAAATGTGTTTAAAAATTCATAAACTTATTTGAGGTTTGGTGATTGGCCATGTGATTTAGAATAGTGAGTTGAAAAGAGGTACTTCTGTATTTGCTCCTTGTCTCACCAGTGTACGTGAAGATTACCATTTCTTCCTGTTGAGGAACAGGAACCAGCTCTTCCTGTCCAATATTGTCAAACGTGCCACCTTTCATATTTTCCACCAAGAGCAAAAGATAGTCAACAGCTGGTATGCTATTGCTGCTCTCAATGCCATGGTTCTTTGGAAACTGTTTGTATTGACACAATATAGATCTTGTGTCTGCCATTGCCTAATACGATTTCCTTAATTAATGCTAATTACATGGGTCTTCCTGATGCTACATCATCCATAATGCAGCCTGGGGCTACTGGCTTCTGCACTCTCAGAGGTGACTTCTGTGCTTTTTGAATGACCACAAGGGCATGTCTTACCCAGAATATGTGGTAATTTATGAATGATAATTCATTTCATGATAAATGTACCCCTGGAAATTCTAAAGTGTAAATGTAGAGGAGTGCATCTTCCGATCATGTTGTTAGGCCATAAACAGTGCCTTCCTAGGATGTGATTGACTGTGTTGACTAAGTTCCTGCTTTCAACACTCATGCACCAGTAGGCCCAGCTGGAAGAAAGGCTCCATTCACTCAAGGAATGCCCATCCCTCGTCCGGCATGCCTTAATCCTAAATTGGGAGACTAGGACAGTGCCATGTCCATAAGAGGCCAGAGGACATCGATGGGAATACCCTGTTGACATTGTGGAACAATGTTTGGAAAACCCTCAGAGGAGAGGCATGGTCACTCCTAGAGGAGGCCTGACACTGTGGCAGAACCTGTGGAGGGGTGGGGTGGGGGTGGTATTGTTGGGGGGGGTGGTAGGAAGTGGCGATGTCTGAGGAAGGATGCACAGAGCGAAGAACACCCAGTGCCACCCCTGCTGCTCTGGACTGCTGTGGACTGTGGGTAGCGCTGAAGTGGAAACCCCAACAGTTGAGAGCCATTTCGGGGCCCCTGTAGGCTGCTCAAGTCAAGGGCTGACTGAGATCTTTGGTGGCCCTGAACCTGTCCTGTGTCTAACATGAGTCATACAAAATCAGGGTTGGCACTAGACTGGACACCTCATCTCTCATGATTTGGGGACATTAACACTGTCCATCCTGTCCCCGGGTGCCCCTGCAGGAACTGGGGGCAAAAAAGAGTCTCAGGGATCCTTGGGGCATTGGGTTACTCCAGGAGTGGGGTGGAAGGGGGAGCCATAGGCACTTGGTATGGAGGGCCATTGGGCACCCTGAAGGAAAGAGATAGGGACCAGGTCCCATGCTGACCTGTCCAGGCTTGGGGCATCTCTTCTAGATGGCTCAGCTGGCCCTGACCAGTCTTAGCCACTAGATAGGGACTTAGAAAATCTTGAGGAAGGCATTTCTGGTGAACAGGCCCATATTTAGGGCAACTCTGCTTGGACGACCACCAGTAGGGGCTCAGGGCCCGAGGTCCAGGGGCTGGCTTGCATCTAATGGTCAGACCGATGTCAACACAAGTTCTTGGGGATGGTCCAGTCTGGAGATCTAAATCTGGGAGCCGTTAAGATTCTGGAAACGGCTTTACAGAAGAAGGAAAAAGTTCTGAGCCTTCTAGTTCCCACCCTCCACCACCTTATAAAACGTGAGAAGGCGGTTCTCTCCCTTCCCAGGTAGATGAAAAACCCCAAACAAAGAATTACTGACTTGATGGTTTCTACGACTTCCATAGCTTACACAAAGCTACACAGAACTCCGAGTCCTGAAAACAGAAGCAGTTCATAATATGAAAAACCACAGACTCAAATCTCCCTACGAAGCAGTACCTGTGGGAAGGAATGACATTTTTCATTTCCCACTGCCAGACAGACTCTAGGCTAATAACATTTTCCCTACCCCCTGAACAGTGTTATTTGTTTTCTTCTGCTGTCTGTGTAGTCAGGGGGATAATTAATTAACAGTTAAGTCTGCTGGGAACATACCACCAAGTGGCACTCGGTAAATATTTGTTCACAACGAGGAGGCTATTGCTTATCTATACCATCAAATTAGAAACAGAAAATTGTGGAGTTTTTTTCAGCAAGGTATTAGAGGTTTGTCATCATATGGATGAGAAAATTGAAGGTCAGAGAAGCGAGGTGATTTATTCAATGTTGTACAGTGCGGTTGGGGGAGAGCAAGCCTTGTACCCCGAATTCCTGATTCTAAATTTATTCATTGCTTTTTCTGCTACACTGAGCCAGTGTTTTGGGGAAACGGCTGAATTCCACTAAGCAAATTCATATGTTGAGACATTAACCTTTCCAAAGAACAGGAAAATCTCATTAAGTCAGAATAATTGGAAGAATGGCCAGGGTGAATTGGGGGAAAAGTCTGAACTATTTTCAGAGATACTCAGCTTTTTCCTTTCAAGATCGCAGAGTAAATCGGAACAAATAACCACAAAATGAGGCCAAGGAGTGGTCTCACTGAACCTGTGTGAAGGAATAAACAGGAATAATTTAAAAATGGTTCATTTACAGTTTGCATGTACGTGATAACTAAAAATACTATAGGCATTTGGGGAATTAAATTTTTGTTAAAAATAAACTAAATGTTTCCCTTTGAAAACTCCTCGCAAAAATTTACATATGGACTTTTACAAATATGTCAGTCAAACCATGTGTTAAAATTATCCTGCCTCTGATTTGGTGGCGTGTAAATTAACCTGTTTGCTCTGCTGTACTCCAACTGGCATTATTTCTACAGCTCACAGCAGTACGAACAGCGGCATCTGTCTCTCACTTTCCATCCCTTTGATTTTTTCACCCACCCAAGGCCCATAGAGCAGCCTCCAGCTGCTCAGAAACCGGAGGCGTTTTCTATCTATTCCTTCCTCCGCCCACACTCCCACCAGTTTTCACCAAGTGACCCTCCCCTTGCGTCACCATCTGTGAGAAGTCTTCCTGTTTGGCTGCCGGTCAGATTTTCCACTCACACACGAACATAGAGTTGTTCCTGACGATGTTTAGACATCCTAGGCCTTGCTGTCTCTGTGTCGAGCAGAACTGTCACACATGCTGCTCCTCAAGCGGTTGGTAGGCCTCTCCTGGTTTTCTCTCTTCAAACTGCCTTCTTCCTCCCTTACTGGGTAAGAACTAGGGTTGTTACGTGGCAGGTAACCCATGGCGGGGGCCACACCGGGCGAGGGGAAGGCATTAACAGGAGGCTATTTGGGAAAACAGTCTGGGTGATGCTCTCAGGGGAGCTAGGCGCTCAAAGCAGGGAAAAAGGAAGATCTCTGGGGCAAATGGGTGCTTATAAGGCTTTGTTTGCCCGGTGAGTTGTCCTGGATAGGACTCAGAGGTCCATGCATCTTAGGAAGAAAAATGACCAAAACAGAAAGGAGGGCTACAGATATTTCTGCCTTGGACGTTAGCCCCTTCGGATGAGCTCGCTTAACTTCAAAGCCAACTCGAGCTCCTCTGGCCTTCCCCGCCGGCCACCTGCTGCCCCCCTCTGGATGATTTGGAAACTGGAGCTTTGGTTTCTTGCTGGCCCAGTTCTGTCTCGAGTGGGTCTGTGTTCCCATGGCTTCTTTCCCACTTTGCTACAGTGCAGAGAAGTGTGGGCCATAAGGGGCCAACCATGTGTTCAGTGAGTTTGCACCTACTCTGAGTACAATGCAAAGATTTCAATTTTCTGACTGGAGGATGAACTTCCTGGTTTTGTGAACCTACGTCCTGGTCCCCCTCTCCTTCTACCCAGAGTCCAAGCTAAAGCCATCTTTCCTGGCAGTCTAGGACAAACAAGAAGCCCTTTCTGACTTGGCACCCTGCCTTAGGAATCTAGCCTTAAAAGGGAGAGTTTGGACTCCTGATCTCTAGGGTCCTTCTGGCTGATTCTATAAAAATACCTTTACCGGTGAGAATGTTTACTTACCTTGGAAAAACTCCTATGTATTAAGTGAGGCTTCCTTTTATTGAACAAGATTTCTGGGAATAAAGCGAATGCACTTGGTGAAAGGGCTGAATGTCAAAAAAAAAAAAAATCAAAATAGGAAATATGCCACCAGGAGGCAGTGTTGACACAGTTTTATTAAAGCATAGCCAGTATAGTTCCTTTTGAAGGGAATGTTTTTTAAATCAAAGGATGTAAGAGTGATAGAAATAAAGTTTAGTGTGGCAATAAAGTTCTGAAAAGAGTATTAAAGGGGCATCCATCTTACTTAGTAATAGAACAGTTAAGTTGAATAAAAGTTTCTATCACCTGTGAATGAAATATGAAATACTGAAACTGAGAGTGAGGTTCTTATAGCAACTTTGTAAGAAAAAAATGACACTCCTTTTATTGCACCTCAGCCGCATGCAGCTTCTGAAAGCCGTGCTGCTTTGGCTCTCTTTCTGTGCACTGCAGGATGAGGGTGGATTACGAATTATCTTAGTAAGAAAATCCTGGAAATTTCTTTCCCCTCAAGTACTTCTAATACTGTTACCTTCTCCTTTAAAAGCTCAAATAAAACTCAAATACTTACAAAGTACGACAGTTGTATTTTTCTAAATAGATGAATAAACTGAAGCATAGAAATTCTATGGAAAACTTTAGCAAATTACAGAATGAAAATAATCAAATACAACCAAGGTAGTCTCACTGTTCTTCTTTTTTAATAGCTGAAGAAATTACAATTTCAAAACAGCTAAACCAAAAATATGTAGGAAGCAGCATTAACTCTTCATACAGTAAGAGGAGCCATGTTTATGCTAATGTTTTGCATCTTTGGGCTTGAGCTCTCACTGGAGAGCAGATGTTATCAGGTAAAAATACCATAGTTTTCAATCTAGGAAACTTGGATAGAGCTTGGAGAATATTTTTTTCTTTATTACATTTTTTTTTTAAAGCTTCCAAGGTAACACAAGCTCATTGTTTCTCAGCCTTACTGACAATGCCTTTACGTGGATCCAATTTTTTTTTTTTTTTTAGATCCTGAGAAAGAGAGCACGACGTCGGGGAGGGAGAGGAAGAAGCAGACTCCTCTGCTAAGCAGGGAGTCCCACGTGGGGCTCAATCCCAGGACCCCGGGATTATGACCTGAGCTGAAGGCAGACGCTTCACCGACTGAGTCACCCATGCACTCCAGGTGGGCCCAGTTTTAAGCAGGATGGGGAAAGTTTAGATACTGATACCTTTTTTCCTCCTCCCCATTGGTCTGTACCTTTCTTAGCAGTAGAAATGGGTCAGGAAAGAGCAAACAACTCTGGAACATGGAGAGCAGGACTTTCTGGTCTTTCGATACTTATTGATCAGGTCTCATATGACTGATTTTCTAAGAACAAACTTTTTTTTTAATTTTTTTATTTTTTTAAAAATTTTTATTTACTTATGATAGTCACAGAGAGAGAGAGAGAGAGAGAGAGAGAGAGAGAGAGAGAGAGGCAGAGACACAGGCAGAGGGAGAAGCAGGCTCCATGCACTGGGAGCCTGACGTGGGATTCGATCTGGGGTCTCCAGGATCGCGCCCTGGGCCAAAGGCAGGCGCTAAACCGCTGCGCCACCCAGGGATCGTCTAAGAACAAACTTAAAGGATTAGCAAGATCCTCATATCTGAAGTGTTCCATAACAGTGGTTTTCAAACTGTTGGGTCATAGAATCTGTTTGAAGGGTCTCAACCAGCATGTTTTATCAGTGACATAGGATGGAAAAGAATGGAAGAGAAAATATCAAAATGGATCACAAATTTTATTTCAGTGGGTATATGATATTTGCTTTAATGGGTTATCACCTAACTTTTGTTTCTTACTAAAGGTCAAGTTCAAAAGAACTTGGAAGTCACTTCCCTAGAGCACTGTCTGTCGCTGTCTCATCAGCTCACATCTCCTCCTCCTTTACTAGCCTGCAAACTTTTGGAAGTGGGGATGAATATTTGAATTACTTTTCCCTGGCCACAGTGATTTCCCTAATACCTTACGCAGTAGAGGGGCCCTGCTTAAGATTTACTTCTTACTTATTTATACTTACTCTAAGTAAATTTCTAAAATATATTTTTAAAATTCTCAAGTGCTATTTGTAGTTCCATTTTGTTCAGCTACTACCTATTTTATGTGAAGCCTGGCATGAAGATAAGCATTACTTTGAAACCATCTTTTCCTTATTTTGGGGAACTGTGGCCCAAACATAGAAGTTACTAAAAATGGGTTCCACTGAGGCTACTGTGCAGATTTAAATTTCTGTTTTTCAAAGAGCTCTTTCAGCTGCTGCTCAGTTGTGGCTTCCTTCTGCTGCATCAGCTCAGTTGTTCCTTTGGTCACTCCCCAGGCATCAGGCTTTGACATTGAAGGGTTGTATGGCCTGCCAGAGGCTATCCGAAGATTTTCCCAGTATTCCCTCCTGGCCCTGGGTGAACAAAACACACAACATTACACTCCTTCCTGAGTATCACTGAGCTAGAAGACCTCCACAGAGTCGTCTTCGGACTCTTGAGAGTATGTCTGTTAAAACACATTTATTACACTAGACTAAAACTTTTTTTTTTCTTCAGAATTTATAGGACTAAAATAACTTTGAAATGATTTCATTTTTATTTTTTATTTTTTTAAAAGATTTTATTTATTTATTCATGAGAGAGAGAGGCAGAGACACAGGCAGAGGGAGAAGCAGGCTCCATGCAGGGAGCCCGACGTGGGCCTCCAGGATCATGCCCTGGACTGAAGGCGGCACCAAACTGCTGAGCCACCCGGGCTGCCCTTATTTTTATTTTTTAAAGATTTATGTATTTATTTGAGAGAGAGAGCATGAGAGGGAGAGGGAGAGAGAATCTCAGGCAGATTCCATGCTGAGCACAGAGGCTGATGTGGGCCTCGATCTTACGACCTCGAGATCATGACCTAAACTGAAACCAAGAGTTGGATGTTCAACTGAGTATGCCACTCAGGCACCCTTGAAATTATTTTTTAAGATATATGCATAGAGGGGAGCTGGGTTAAGCATCTGTCTTTCTTTTTATTTTTTTTAAAGGTTTTATTTATTCATGAGAGACACACACAGAGAGAGAGAGGCAGAGACACAGGCAGCGGGAGAAGCAGGCTCCATGCAGGGAGCCCTACGTGGGACTCCATCCCGGGTCTCCAGGATCACGCCCCAGGCTGAAGGCAGGCGCTAAACCACTGAGCCACCCAGGCATTCCCCAAGCATCTGTCTTTAGCTCAGGTCATGATCCCGGGGTCCTGATTCTCCTTCTCCCTCTGCCTGCTGTTCCCCTTGTTTACTCAAATAAGTAAATAAAATCTTTAAAAAAATATATGCATAGGGATCAAAAGCTAAGAATTTCGGATAGGGACATTTTCTGTTGCCTTTTGCTACCTCCTCATCCTAACTTTCTGGCACTCTACCTCATGAACCAGCTGAGCTCCCAGCTGCTGCTCTTCTTAAACCCACTATCTGCACATCTCACTCTGCAGATCCAGCCTCCTCCTCCTTTCTATTTAATTGTCTACTAGTTCAGTTCAGGCCTCATCACATCCCATGCAGTCTAGCAAAGGCTTCCTCGCAGGTTTCCCTGTCTCAAGGCTATTAAAACTCGCAAACCTAACCTTGGACCACCTGAGATGCTCCAATGGGATAAGGTCATACATAGCTCATGACAATGAATAACAGTCTGTCTCCTAGTCCTCAGGTGTGTCCTCTCAGTTTCTGTCTCTGATATCACCACACTTAGGGTTTCTCAGGACACCATTCTCTTTCCACCTCTCAGTGCTTCCAAGTAGGCTCTTCCCTTGTCTGACAGTGTAACTCATCCTTCCCAAGTCAGCTCAGGAATCAGCTCTATTAGAAATTCTTCATTAATCCTCCTCTGCCTTTTGCCCCCACAGCCATTAGCTCGACCCCTCAGCACCTGTGCATATCTTCATAGTTGAACTTACTGTACCAATTTGAACTTGCCTGTTTATCTCTCTGCCTACTAGACTGTTAAGTCCTTGGGGACAGGGCTATGCCTTGTTCTTGCTACCTTAGCATCCACAACATGTCTGATAGAGTTGTGCACCATCAATGTCAGACACACAGAGTGAGACTGCTCCGTCTGCTTGGGTGCTCATCTTTCACCCCCTTCCTTATCTCGTGGCTGGTTAGCCCTTGGAAATACACCCCCCATATCCCTTCTTCTAAACTATCTATTACGCAGAGATAGTCATTGTCTTTTCTTGTTACTTTTTGAATCTATGCCTCTACCAAAGCAGTTACCATAGTATAATACATTGACTTTCTTATCCATTTCCCCCAGTAGACTATGAGATTCTCTAGACAGCTTTTCATTTATTTTCCCAGTGCTCTGCACATTGCCTGATGTAAAATCTATTTGTTTCTTGTTCATCTTCCCTACTGGAGTGTAAGCTCTGACGGCAAAGACCTATCTTACTCGCCACTGTCTTCCCAGCTCCAAGAATTGTGCTTGGCACAGAATAGGCATTTAATTGATATTTGTTGTATTTAACTTATACTTAAATCTTTTTTCTTTTCTTTTTTTTTTTTAGATTTTATTTATTCATGAGAGACACACAGAGAGAGACAGGGACGTAGACAGAGGGAGAAGCAGGTTTCCTGAGGGGAGCCTGATGTGGCACTCAATCCCAGGACCCCGGGATCATGACCTGAGCTGAAGGCAGACACTCAGCTACTGAGTCACCCAGGTTCCCCAACTTGTGGTCGTTAATATTTAACGACCAATTAGTTTAATGTTACTCAGTGTCCACCCCATGGTACTATCCCAGAGCATAAAATCACATTTGATTGCAACTTTCATTATTTATATGCCAAATCTTAAAACCTTCTCCAGAAATCAGTACATAAGGTTATTCTATAAACAGCTCTGTGAAAGAAGTTAAGGGGGATAACTGATTATTATCACACAGCAAATTAGCTATATTCTCCATTATGGCCTCACTTGGACATATTCATAATTTAAAAGAGTTGGTTTGGCAAATATAAAGGTTCTTACCTGGCTCTAATCCAGGGTTTGGTGTGCATGTCCAAACCACTTCCCCAGCTGCCGTGTTTTTCTGAAGCTGGAGGCAAAAACCTCCTTTCTGGGGCCAGCTCCTCAGCAATAGCCCTGATGTGATAGGGCTCAAATCCACAGCACCCACCAATGTACCGGACCCCCAGGTTGTAGGCCTCTCTAGCGTATTTTTGAATATCCCATCTGGTTGCAACTCGGGGTTCCAGTCCTATAATAAATGGAGTGAATTCTTTTTTAATTTTTTATTTATTGTTATGTATTTATTTCAAGATTTATTTATTTATTCATGAGAGACACAGACAGAGGCAGAGACACAGGTAGAGGGAGAAGCAGGCTCCTTGTGGGGGATCCCAAGGACCCCGGGATCACGACCTAAGCCGAAGGCAGACACTCAACCGCTGAGCCACCCAGGCATCCCTGAATTCTTTTTTTCTTAAATATTCAAGACAAAATGGCCAACGTAAGTATGTAATTTTCAATAACTGAATTAAACAAATTGTCAGTCTCTGATTCATAACTTGTATTTATATACCCAGTTTTAAATGCTGTGGTAGGTAACCTTCAAAATGGTTCCCAGTGATCCCTGCCCTCTGCTGTTTTCACGCTGTGGAGTTCCCTCTCATACCACATTGGTCGGAGAGACCAACAGAGTATGTCAGAAGGGATGGTCAGTGACTTCTGAGGCCGGGTTATGCAAGTATTATGGCTTCTGCCTCGATCTCTCTTGTTCTCTTAGAACAGCTGCCATGTTGTGAGACTCAAGCGTCCCAGTGGAAAGGCCCATAAACTAAGGGACTGAGGCCTCCAGTCAAAAGACAGTGAGAAACAAACATCTATTTCAGCAGCCAACTAAGGGAGCTTGGGAGTGGATCCCTAACTCCCATCAGGACTTCAGACGACTACAGACCTGACCAGTGTCTGAACTGCACTTTCATAAGGGACCCTAAGCAAAAACTCCCCAGCTGGGCTCCTCCCAAGTTCATGTCCCATAGCAACTCTGAGATAGAATAACTGTTGTTTAAAAGCACTAAATTTTGTAATAATTTGTTCTATGGCTAAAACACAGATGCCTTGCCATTCCTCCACAGTTTTTCTAGATGAATTATTTTATGAGATCTTCCTTCTCTGGGGGTCCTTATAAAATATAGTACAGGTTTTAAGGATCCTAGAATGGAATAGGAGGCTGGTCAGGCTCTGGCGCTGCTGACCTCTCTGACTTGATTTTCAGGTAGACTCACCCCTGCTTCCCAAACATGCTTTCTCCCTTTTCCCAGACTGCAAGTACACCCTCACTTCATCCACTTAGTTTCTTCGATCAGATTTGTTATACAGTAACCCAGTGATGGCATCCTCCCCTTCCCCCAAACTCTGCAGTAGCTCAGCGACATTTCAGATAAGTGTCTTGGACATAAATTGGTCTATCCTTTTAATTTTTCTTTAAAAATTTTTTAAAATATATTTTATTTATTTGAGAGAGAAGCAGAGAAAGAAAGAGAGAACACAATTGGGGGAAAGAGCAAAGGAAGAGGGAGAAGCAGACTCCCTACTGAGCAGGGAG